CCACGCCCCAGCACGTGTGGCAGGCGTGCTCCGGACGAGGCGGGGGACGCAGGGCTGGCGGCTACAAAGGGCGTCGGCCAAAGGACAGTTGCCGCCGTTCGGGTGGCCGAGCAGGGGGCGGGGCTGGCCAGGGGCTTGCGCTTGGCGATGGTAGGCCCTCCTGCTGGGCTGTGAGTGAGGGGTGAGTGTGTGTGTGTGTGTGTGTGTGTGTGTGTTTTTAGTAGTATTTTAAATCTTTTTATGGAGTCGTCCCTGGCCATGCTGCCGCTTATGTTTCCTGGGGAGCGCACGGGTGCCGCCATTGAGGTGGTTATGGGCAGGGGACGTAACAGCGTTGGGAGCTTAACGTGTCCGCATAGAAGAAGGAGGGACAGATGGCTGACACCTGTCCCTACTTCTGGTTTTGCTCCCAGCCAGAGGGTGCCAGGGAGTCTCGTCAGTCGCCCCTCCAGCCTGACGGTGCTGTTGCTTAATGCCAGGTCGGTCAATAACAAATCTGCCCTCATCCAGGACCTGATTGTGGATGAGGGGGCCGACCTGGTCTGCGTAACGGAGACCTGGGCGGGAGAGGGGGGGGATGTTGCCCTCTCCCAAGTGTGCCCGCCCGGGTATCTGGTCCAGCACTGCTCACGGCTGGAGGGGAGGGGAGGGGGGGTCGCTTTGGTATACCGAGCCTCCATCTCCCTCACGGGACTTCCGGTCCCTTCGAGACCAGGGCTGGAGTGTCTCTATTTGGTGTTGGGCGACCGAGACAGACTGGGGATTCTGTTGGTGTACCGCGCACCCTTCTGCCCAACAGTCTCCCTGCCTGAGCTGACGGAGACTGTCTCAGACCTGGTGTTGAGGACCCCCAGGATGTTGGTCCTGGGGGACTTCAATCTCCATGCCGAGGCTAGTCTGACCGGGGCGGCTCAGGACTTCATGGCCTCCATGACGGCCATGGGGCTGTCTCAACATGTCACCGGCCCGACCCATCAACGTGGACACACTCTGGACCTGGTTTTCTTGACGGGGCAGGAAGAGGGTGCTCTCAGGGTGAGGAATTTATGCTTGACTCCCCTGTCATGGTCAGATCACTTCCTGGTGAGGTTTGTGCTAGAGAGCGACTTCTCCCTCTGTAAGGGTGCGGACCCGATTATGTGGGTCCGCCCCCGGAGCCGGATGGATCCAGAAGGATTCCTGAAGGCCCTGGGGGAGTTTCCGGCTGACAAGACGGGTGCTCCTGTCGAGGCTCTGGTCGAACTGTGGAATGGGGAGATGACCAGGGCTGTAGACACGATCGCTCCTAAGCGTCCTCTCCCACCGGGCAGAGCCCGCTCTTCCCCTTGGTATACTCCTGAATTGAGGGCGATGAAGCAGGTTGGGAGACGACTAGAGCGTAGGTGGAGGAAATCACGAGATGAATCTGACCGAACACACTTAAGAGCCCACTATCGGGCCTATGCTGTGGCGGTGAGGGCGGCAAAAAAGAGATTCTTTTCCGCTTCCATTGCCTCCTCACAATGCCGTCCGACGGAGCTCTTTCGAGTGGTGCAAGGCCTGGTCCGTCCAGGTCCAAAGGAAGACCTGATTCCACCCTCAAAGACCCGCTGTGACGACTTTGCCAGGCATTTCAGGGAGAAAATCGCTCAGATTCGTCACGAGCTGGACACCACTATTGATTCAGAGGTTTCAAAGGAGACACCAATGCTGCCGTCTGGTCCAGATTTATTGGATGAATTTCAGTTATTGCGGCCCGATGATGTGGACAAGG